GATCCAAACCAGCATCCTGCAAAAAGACTCGGCTGCCACGTCCAGATTCCGGACCGACCCAAAACCCCTTTCGGAAAAACGGCCGGTCTCCACAACACGGCGTCGGGGTCGGCGCGTCGTCTCGTCGTCGCGTCTTCCGGGGAGGACGGACCGAGGCCAAGGCCTGAGCTGAGTTTGAGGTCGTCCAACCGTTCCTTGAAACCGTTCCACCCGTCCAACCGTACCTGGAATTCGGTTCGAACGGGATGAACGGTTCTTTGACGATCTGCAATTCTTGGCCAAAACTGCATGTTGCATATGTGCATGGCAAGTTCTTTCCCCAGCGATTAGACTTGTCCCATCCCCTTTTTCCCCAGCGTTTTCTTCGCGGGTGAACCACCCCTCCTCCTCGATGACTTCCACACGAGGTCCCACCTGATCACGTGATGCAGGGCTTTAAAATTGGAGAGATCCTTTAATTGTGGGCCCCTGACAAACAGGTTCTTTTCAAAGAGGGTCGATGAGTCTTTTCTGACACACCAGCACACAAAAAAAGAAGACTCTTTTGGCTTAAAGCCCTTGGATGGTCGAGGTCTCCTCACTTGTCCTCATATCTCCAGAAACACAATTCTCTTCTATGAAAGGAATGTTTAGCATGAAAACCATCTATTTTTCTCCCACTGTGTAGGCCTTTTAGCATCCCAAACCACCGGATTCCACGACTCTGAAGTTCACCACGATCAGGGAAAAACAGCCATGGTCGGCCGTCTGCGAGGCTTCGTTCCTTCTTTCCCCCGGTTTTTTTTCCACACATCCTGTGGCATGATGTGGCCATCTTCATCCACCACTCTTCACATCAAGAAACCCACCCACCGCTCTGGAAGAACTCCCCGGCAAAGGTGAGGCAATGAGACTCCGAACCTCGGTGCACGTGAACACGTCAGGCAGTCCAAAGTGGTTGGGCCAACGAGGGAAGTCAACAAATAAATTGCAAAAAAAAATACATATGACATATGCCCAGTGCATCCCAGTTACCACTATATATAAGGAACCAGGGATTCTAGGTCTATGTGTCGATTCCTGCTAATGCATACATGATTTTCCATTCATTTCAGGTTGTTGATCTCGTGAATCCGAAACATCTCGGTTCACGAGGGCCCTTGAGCGTAAGACTAGCTACGACATCGACGAAAACAAGGTGCGGAAGACCGAGGATCTTGGACTAGACTTCGAGGGCTAGACGATTTCCAAGTTGATATTGGTAGCGGAGCACGAGACGCTCCTCACGGCATTTGACGACGGTGAGACTTCGTGTTTGAAGAGCGCTACGTGATCCTGTGAAAGGGTTTCGTGACACTCACCTCACAGATCGTGATTGGCGTGGCAGGCTGATGTCTCAGGCCGCTGCAGGAGCTGAGCGAAGCTCACCGGTGAGGAGGACAGGGACCCGACGTGTCAGGACACCCAGAGAGTTTGACTTCCCGGACGAGACAAGACCTAGAATAGCGTTAGCTGAAGGTGATGGGGGCAGAAGAGACAACGGAGGTTTCAAAGGTTTGGATTCCGGATTGTCGAAAGCATGTCCCTCCACAGATGGTTTGAGTCAGAAAACATACAGAAGCTTTCGCAGAAGAGTTGAGTTGTTTGAACGACAATGTCATCGACGCAATGTTGACACCGCAGTTGAGGGTACATTGTTGTTGATTTCAAGGTTGCAAGATCTGGCATGGGATTCTACAGAGCAAATTTCTTTTGAGGCTTTGGAACGCAGTACACAACCTTTCACCTTTGTGTACGAAATCCTGGACAACCTGTACCAATATGAAAAGCAGGTTGAAGTGCCTTCCCGCTGTGAAGAGTTTTTCGCGGAATTCCAGAGGTTGAAGAATGAGGACATGACCACGTATTTGGTGAGACACCGGACTCTTCTGAAGCGCATGCGAGATGTTGGAGTTGAAGTCCCAGCATTGCTCAGTGGTTGGCATTTGTTGACCAGATCAGGAATTCCCCGTTGGACACATGTTCAGGTGAAAGCATTGTGCCAAGGTGAATTGGAGTACGAGAAAGTTCACAAAGCATTGATGAAGATGTTTGGTGGTGATCACAAGCCAAATCCTAAGGACTTGCAAAGGACCAGCAATTCCACAGAAGTGTTCTTCGAGGATGACTATGACGTCGAAGACGAAGAAGGATACTATGGTGAAGACGACTTCAATGACTGGTGGGAGGAAGAAGTGAATTTTGAAGAATGGCAAGATGATGAACCGTGGCCTGAGGAGCTAGATGAAGCTGTTGACGCCACAGAAGAAGCCTACATATCCTACCTGGACAGTCGTCGACGGATGAGAGAGCTGGCCCTATCCAGAGGATTTTACCCCGTGGTTGCCATTGGACCTGAAACAGATGGACGTGGTCAAGGATCCAAAGGTAAAGGAAGCAGTAAAGGGCAGAGCAAAGGAAAAGGAAAAGGAAAGAGTGCAAAAGGAAAAGGCAAAGGCAAGAGCAGCGGGTTCCGGAGGACCTTTGACAACAGAAGGCC